ACTCTCAGCCCAGCTCGCGTCACATGCTATTTTTTAAGTCAAGACTAGACTTGCTTTCACTCAGTTATTCATGAATTTCGCACAAATAACCGAAAAGAGCTTCTCTGATCATAGACACAAGCCACCAGAAGCCCCTGGAAAACTGCCATCTGGTAGGAAATAACTGACAGCACTTTGTATCCCCCAATGTGTCTGGAAGAAGGGAAAACTTCCTTTGTGTAGTGACCTACACCAAGCTGACCACCGACTCAAGGGACTGGTGGAGGCACCACCTTTCAAGTCCTGGAATTTTCCTTGTAGCACAAAGAGCAAAAGAATAAAGGAACACGGGCCAAAAGATAAGGGTCAGTCCCGGGGTTAAGGCAGTCGAGAAATGTGAAGTGAGATTTTGGTCTTCTCCCCCAGAAAGGGCTGGAATCAACCGTATCAAACTCAAACAATCTGAGTCCTTCCTTTGGGTAAATTGTATCCCACGTCAGCTGGGATACTCGTACCCATTTTGCTGGGATGTTGCATGAATTTCCTGGTATTTGGGAGGCTCTTAAATCCATGTACCTCACATGTAACTCTTAAACATGGTCTTGCTTTTAGATCAGAACTGCAATAATTCAGAGCCCAGCACATTTTGGTTTTTATTTTCTTATATGAATTCACCGAGACAAGTGACAGAGAAACATGATTCATCACGTTCATATGACTATTTCCAAAACTGTTCTTACTTTTGTCTGAGTAATTGGAAAATGTTAAAGGCAGGACTATTTTACCCAGCTGACTTAAGAAGGTTGTTTTATTCCACATTTCTGTTTTCAATAAATCTCTCAGGACAAAAACAGCCCCTGCAGCATATATATGCAAAGGACAAAAAGGCGTTAAATCCTAAGGGGGGGAGAGGGGGGAAGAGATAAATAGTTTACTTCTATTATCTTTACCATATGTTCTATTCCAACTGGATACACATAAACAGCATGTAATCTTCAAGCTCAGCTTTAGACTCTTTGAAGTGACCTGACCATACTACTGATTTATTTCAAACTAACCTTTCTCTTTGAACCCTAGGTCAAGGTTAATTCTATAATAAAACATACCTTATACAGCTGGCTTTTCCAGTGGTGCTAGCAAGTAACGAACCCCTCGGTCATAAGCATTTGTTTCACTGAGTGTAGTATTGTATTTCTATTTTCCCTTCCCGATATTAATTTCCTTCACAGACCCTAGTTAAGGGGAAAAAAAATCTCTTTTCCGGTCCATGAGATCAATTTTAAACACACTGGAATTAAATGAAGACATTTAAGCCACATTTCTCTGCTGAAATGCATCCACCAACACCAGAAACTATTTTTATTACAGCCTATGTTAAATAATCAGATCTTCAATTTCATAAGAAGCCGTAGAGCCACGGTATTCAAACTGCACCACTGGCACCTACCCTTTCAGAATCTTTTACAAAACCATCTTTGCACTGAATCACAGCAAATCACCGAATATAGCCCTTCTATCTAGGAAAATAAAATTGGAAAAGAGAAACACGTTTGAAGGGCACTTCTCAAAAAGAAAAGAAGGAGAGTTTGGAAGTGCCCCCAGCCAGTCTTGCCTGCCCGTAGGTATGGAAGGGGAGGAGGACTCCAAGCAGGGGGTGCACAGAGCCCAAGCTAGCTTGGAGAGGTGGGATGCAGCCGTTAAGAGATGCTGAGGTCCATGCCATATTGCTCAAAGGCCACTCATCGGGTTGTTTTTAAGAGGCCTGGAAAGATGCACTTGAATCTCAGCCTCCAACCCACGGCACATACACACAGCACTTAATTAAAAAGCAGCAACGCACAAGCTAAACCAGCAGCTGTTCTGTATTTCCTCTGACTCCAAAGCCTTGCCAACAGTGTTGGGAGAGGGATGAGATCCTCTGGGTTTGGGGCTTCCATCAGGAACAGGCTGGAAGACCTTATCTGTCCTAGCAGGGGGGAGTTGTGCTTCCCCTCCAAATGAACGATGACTTTATCCTGGCTTATCCTCACACATTTTGCAGGCCTGAGTCTACAGCAGGTTGATGGTCAGCATCACCAGCACCAAAAGCTTTCAGGACTTCACCTCTGGCTTAGGGGACACTTTGTAGAACAGGGTTTTAGTCTGGTGTTAGATGAGTTTGACCAGACAGCACTCTCGGGCAGCATCGATACAGCAAACTTGTTATCTCATCAATATCTGCCACTGCCTAACTCAGCTGAGCTTGCCGTAATGGAAGCGCCGTCCATTTGAAATCCCAAAGGAAGGCATCAGTTTTGGATCAATGCTCTCAGAATCTCCATTAACTGTTACGATGCCAGTGATGTTTCAGATCTATTTTGGCTTAGTTTCTTCATGCCAGGACAAGCCCACAAAAGGCCTTCACTTCGAGAGACTCTCTTAGGGGAATAGGAGAGTGGTGGGAGAGTGGTGGGAGGGTGGTGGGCCAAGCATCTCCAGAAGAGACGTGGTTCCAAACAAACCCTTGTTCCTCCAGCTCTCCCCTCTCATTTCACCACTCTCTGGAATCACACCAATTCAAGAGTCTAAAATATCAATGTGAAATTCCACCCAGAGGTGTTGAAGGAGACATCTCTACCATTTTCTAATATTGTTCTGTAACAGGCGCCAGGAAGAGAATTATTACATCTAATGATTTATTAGTGAATGAAATCAGCCAATTAGACAGCCAGCGACTGATTTTCAAAGGGATCTCGCACAGAACAATTTAATATAATGCAAGATAATAAACACATCCCAAGCTGAATCACTGAATGATGTCGCTAACAGCCTGTCAGAGATACCAGATATTTACAGCACAGTAAGGCACCACATCAGATAAAGTCAAATACATCCTCTCACAGATACAGAAATATGGAAAGGAATCTCTCCGGCTGCATTTCAAGTCCAGGCAATTTATATAACTCCTGAGAAAAAGCTCGGTGTGGTGCCAGAGCTCTTCTTAAAATTCGCCCATCCCTGCTGCTACCCAGTCTGAGAAAGCCAACTGCACAAAATACAGTGGGGAACTGGAAATGGGGTGGTGGTGACACCCCGACAAACCTCTATCAGCAGAAGTTCAGCCAAGAGAAGACAAAAATCTAGATTTCAAGGTTTCATCCAAAACCTGCACAATAATAATCCATCAACAATATGTCAAGAAGGAAAATATAGCATGGACCTCACACGTTGGATAATGTTTTAAAGATAAAAACATGTATAGATATCTAGTAAATAGGGTAACCTAAACCAAAGGCACCTTTAAAATCATTTTATCTACACGTTGCCATTAAATGTCAGGTACAAGCAAGTATTAGTGCTGTCCTAGAATTGATGGCTACATATTGTAGGTTCCTTCATGCAGCTGTTATTGAAAGATGCATTTTTGATAAAACAGTAAAAAGCAAGTAAACAAGCCTACAACTCAATCCAATTTATATACATCTTTGTGAAATCATGTTCAATTTAATCTAGTTGTGGACAGTCTATGATCTATTCAGTTCTACCCAAAATTACGAAAGCTCCTTCTACTCCCAAGCCGTTCAGGGGGGTGAGTAAGAGTGTGAGCTCTGCCCTTAGGAATGAAGTTCACATTTCGCTTGCTTTGATATCAGTCTGCCCTTAGACGATATTTAATACAGCTGGCATTCCTGTTCCTTATGAGTAAGGCTATAAACTACAGCTCAGAAAAGGAGCAAGACAGTCTTCGGAGACCCAGTTGCAGGATGAGAGCCCAATATTGGGTATCCAGAAGTGACCAACCCAGTGAAACCACTGGTAAGAGATTCAATTAAAAAGTAAAACTCCTCCCCCTTAATTCTGCAAAACCAGCCCACGGGAGATGACTCAGGCAAACCTGGATTCATCCTTTGAGACTACAAGCTTGGATGATAAAGGCAACTGCTGAGGAGTAATGGCATCTATGTGCTTTTGAGTTACTATCACGTAGCAGTATGTTAAAAGCAGAGCTACATAACACCAAATTTTACACAAAAAGCTGTCTCCCTGGCTTAGGCATTTGGGCTAAGCAGCGTTGCTGTTTCGCATGAAAGCAAAGCCCAGGATGGGACTCTGCATTTGGGGTGCCCCAGCAGGAACACAGCTGGGGGTGAGGGCTTGGGACCCTCCCGACTCCATGGAAGGGACAGGGCACAAGCCATCAGACAGGGCCGAGGTGCAACCCGCACCCCAGCACACTGCCGCCATCCCCGTCAGCCTCCGTCTGGGCTCCCCCACCATGTTCTCCCTGCCCTCGGGCCACAGTCCTGTCCGGTCTCCTGCTGAGGGCAGGGCGCCATGTGTCCCCTGTGCCCCCTCTTGGTCTCTACATGAGGGGAAGGTGCCATTTCCCCATACCCTTCTCCCGGTCTCTGAGGGGAAGGTGCCATTTCCCTGTACCCCCTCTCAGTCTCTATCTGAGGGAAAGGCGCCATTTCGAGAAGCCGGCGGTGCGGCCCATGGGCTCTGCCCTGGGCAGGGACACCTTCCCTGTACCCCCTCTCAGTCTCTATCTGAGGGAAAGGCGCCATTTCCCCACTCCGTACCCCTCTCCGGGTCTCTACCTGAGGGGAACACACCCTTTCCCTATACCCTCTCCCGGTCTCAACCTGAAGGGAAGGCGCCATTTCCCTGTACCCTCTCCTGTTCTCCACCTGAGGGGAAGGCACCATTTCCCCACTCCGTACCCCTCTCCGGGCCTCTACCCGAGGGGAAGGCACCATTCCCCCCCGTCTCCCTCCTCCCCGGCTACACGGGCACAGCCGCGGCCCTTGCGACCCGGCCGTTAGGGTCAGGAGAGCTCCCGGGCCGGCGCGGGGAGGGCGGACCGAGGCGCCGGAGCGGCGCGGGGAGGGCGGAGGCGGCCGCCCGGCGGCGG